ACAGGCTTGTTTCTTCGTTTCGTTTCATTTTATCTCTGATTACATGATTTTAAAAATCAGATAAATGCGACGATCATTTTTTTTTCCAGCGAATTTCATGCGCTTGGCTTTATTTCGTTTTAATTATTCATTTGTGACTTGAAATCATAACCTGAAAATTGAATGAGATTTTGTTTTCAGATTCATTTAATTCTCTCTTTTTTTTCGGTTTTAAAATGACCCAAGAAAATTTCTGAACGAGGAAAACAAAATAACCAATGCCAATTTGAGTGGCCGCTTTTCTGGTAGCCGAGAGTGTTTTTCGCCTTGTTGTTTTGCTTAATTTTCTTGCATCATCATCATTATCTTGTTCAGCATGTGATGGGATTCAAGGCTGTGTGTTGTTTTGCCGGCGCCATTGAGCCTTTCGATGTTTGTTACTTTTTATGATAATTGAAAGAGATTGATTTATCGAAGCAATCCTGTAGATCGTAAAAATATACTTGTTTCCATTGCGTTACTTTTGTGAATGTGTGTGTGTGTGTGTTTGTGTTTGTATATTTTTGATATATGAAAATCGAATTGCTCATCTGACACAAAAGCAATTTCAAATGACATGTAATATCGGATCTCATCTTCCCCCTCGTTTCAAACACGAAAAATGCAATCGGATAGACTAAAACATTTAGCGAATGAATAAATGTATGAACAACAAATATCGTTTCGTTTATATTGGCATGAGCAAACAATTTTCTAAATGTGTTGTTTATTCAAAAAAATGACATGTTTACAAATAGACAATACGAATAGGGAACGTTTTGTGGCATCTATTTGTATACATAGGAAGCAAAAAATATTAGCAATTGCCACTAAATCATTGTCATTTATTTTCTGACGGAATTGCGTATATTTGTTACAAAACAGTTTTGGAAATTAATGGATGACTGTTATAGCAAAGAAAATATGCTCCTTCAACAATTTCCATAAAATAATAAGCGATGGCGCGGCTCTGTTATTGTGGATATATAATGAAAACGCCGACGGCAGAAGTCAATTGATTCAATCAATATCATCGTTTCCCAAGTTCTAACCGTCTCTCAAATGAAGCGATAAGTTCAAAAGACATTTGATATCAAAATAAATATAAAACAAAACGATAATAAACTTCTTTTTTCGTATTTCTCTTCAAATTAACAAATTTGTTTCATCAAATGCGGCTCGAAAATCAACAAAAATTATGAATTTCTTTAAATTCCATGTTGTTTTACCTAAAAATACAACATGGTTGGTTTTTATATGATAATCACCGAATCAAATTAAACGAACAAAAAAAGAATGATGGCGGCTTCAATGATAATGGGTACTTTCAACTTTCCATTTTTAAGTTCAATTTTTCGGGTGAAGTTTTCTGATTTTAGATAACGTCAGCAAACTAATAATTAGTTTTGAAAACAGCAATTCTACTTAACAAAGGGCACTGTTTTTTTCTCGGTTTGCTTGTGCTGAGACTTAAGGAGTAGAAACCAATTTCTTTGGCATTGCATAACAAAAACACTGAATAATCCCCACCATAAAATCATTACACAGAGCGTAATATAAACAGCGATTGCGCATGTGTTTGTTTATGGCAGCCATCATTTTACGAACACGCCCATCGTTAACCACGTTTACCATTGGAGTGAATGCTTTCGACCGGTTTTTTGTCTCTCTTCTTCTTCTTCGTTTACGTAGTCAGTGTGCATGGAAGCAGATGTGAATAGAACGCCGTTGTAGTTGAGCTTCAATACAAAGCTCTGAGATTATAACCAAACAAAAGGAGGCGATCATAAATAAGAACAGTTTTTTTTTAGTGCAGGGGAGTTTTGAAATAGAAGGGACACCAAAATTCCCCTCATTTTTCCTTAGAGCGAACAACTTTCAAACTAATAGTAGTAGTAGCATTGGTGCAGTGAACGAAAAATCGATTAGAGAAAATGACATTGTCAGGCAGATTTTCTAGATATCAACGTACACAAAATATGAGTGTTTTGCGTGCGAGAGCCCTTTTTCAAAATCTAAATTACACTTTCGGCAAACATGTTGACGAATAAAATGTTATCTCTATATTAAGTTTTTATGTGTTTGCTTTTCATTCATTTATTTGTGACGGCTATGTAGACTAGCGCCGATTACATTGAACTGATAGAAAAGTAATGCTGTTTTATGATTGGATTGCAGAGTGAAATTAACATAAGTTTCAGAGAATAGGGGTGGAAAAAATGGGAAAAATGAACATCATTACACTTTTAAGCATGATTGCCCGATTGCCGACTGTAATTAAAGTCTAAATGAATCACAAATGAATCACTCGAGTAATTTAACTTTGCAATCAATCTAATTCGATATGATTCAAGAATTGTTCCAAGCAATTGGGGGATTTTCAAATTGAGAATCGCCATTGTCAAATAAAAGAGAGAGACATTTTGAATGAAAATTTATTTCGGAGAGAAAAGTTCTTTTAACATTAGTTTCGTCCAGCTGAAATAGCTTATATTGCTAAAAAAATACAATTTCTATTAATTGTATGGGTATCTTGAGAGGAAGAGGGAGAGAGAGAGAGAGGTTAACGGAACGAAAAAGAATTTTTTTTAACGAAAACTAAGTCAGAATGCAAAACCATTTCTTGTTCAAATCCATTTAAATGTACACTTTTCTTATTCACACTAGAAAATGCAATAATAATTTCAGGCTCTACTACTTTTTCTGCCACAAACTAATATAAATTAATACACATTTTAAAACGGCAGACAGAATGGATGCGTTGCAAAAAAAACGGTGGCAAAAAAGTAAGCGGCTGTAAAACTAGTTAATTTCAAATAAAATAATTTTATTAGCGAAATGCATGTTATTTTTTCACTTTGCTCTTTACACATTTAGGCTCTTTTATTTTATTTTGTATTAGTGTGCTGTTGTTGTTTTTTTCGGTTGTCGTTTTATTTGAATTTTAATTGCAAGCTCCCATGCTTAATTTCACCTCAACAAGCCTAGCAATTATGGATTTTACAACTTTTTAATTTAAATAGCCAATTAAAATAAAATTCATTATTCTATTTATTATCCATATATAATAAGAAAGCAAACAAAATGAATTCATGAAGTAGCGTGTGTGCATAAAAATTGAAATGAATTTAATATGATTAGTGCAATGTGCGAGATGGCAATTGATAAAATTGAAAATGAGACGAAGCAAAAGGTGAAGAAAAAAATGCAAAAAAGTGCAGCGGCCGAATGAAAGCTTCTCACAAAGTTTGGCCATCTATTGAAAATGTGGCAAACTAATAATAACTTGGCACAAAAGTTATAAGCACATAAATTAACAATAATGCGTATTTATTGGTTCTTGTCTTTATTTAAAAGCAATCATCCACATAAAATATTTGTCGAAATTCTCTTAATTACTCGTTCCAGCAATAAATCGAAAATTGGATTTACTGCTCAAGGTTAATGAACGGCTGATATATTTATTTCTTTTGTATGGCAAATAAAATCGCTTTGAAGACATAGTGCCACAAGGGAAATTAATTGATCAAAATGAATAAATTTTCCATTATTTGCATGTTATTCAAGCGAAATAAATGTTGAAATCATAAATTTTTACGATTATAGAAAAACCGAAATTAAACACTTCGCAAAGGAGATTGTACACTTTGCTTGCAAAGCAAATGAAAATTCACTCTCGATTGAAATAAAGTACCGAAACTATAGCTCCGCCCATTTTTTGCGTTTTCTTTTATCAGTTTTCTATGCACAGCTTGTTTTGAAGTTGAACGTTTTTGCGAGGACACATGTTGAAATTGATTCGTTCTGTATACGCATGACGTACAGCGGCCATTCGAAAAGGGGCGTTGCTTAACATCTGCTCGCTGCATTAACGAGTATCATACACTCGTTGGGCACATGCGTAATTTATTGATCAGTGAAAGCAAATGGCACTTTATTCGAAATTAATGGGTTTTCGTTTTCCATTTTGTTGACACTGGACAGCCATTTGGTAGAGTTATTGCCGAAGGCTTCTTATTATTGGAGAATGTTTTGTCATCGATTTCATTATGGATGAAATGGATTTTTGACGGAGACTGCGTATGGAAGTACACGCACAAATGTTATGGAGAGGAAATATATTGAATGGACGAGATTGGACAATGATTACCATTTAATATGGCCGAAATTTATGAAATTTTTTGATAATTTTTACTTTTATTTTTATTTTTTGATAATGGCAAATCTTGAAAATATAAATCCTTGAGAATATTTTTTAAAAATGAAAAAAATTAAAAAAGGGCGGAAATCACTTTGTAGAAAAGAATTTTGAAACTTTTTGGTAAAATGAAATTGAAAGAACAAAACTTCTATTCAATGTTATGAAAACAAAGTCTTTAAAAATGTAGTACAAACACATAGTACAATATTAAAAATAAAGTAAACTTTTATTCCAGATATATTTTATATTGATCATGAACTTTATTTATTTTATTCACTACTTATCATGATTTGATTTCTGTATCGACTATTTTATGTTTGATTCATGTCAAAATTCAAAAATTCATAATCAACGATTTATACGTTTATTTACATTCATCGGAATTGAGAATAAACTTTTACTTTCAGTTATGAAATGCTTGATTGAATCAGTTGAAATATATAGATCTATTTCTGATTTCTCGCAAAATGTGTTTTTGATGATGAAATAAGGTATTTACTTTGATAAAATCACAGGCGGATAGCCGTTTCTATATTTTTACAGGTTAATTTCTTAGCCTCTTTTACGGCAATGGCATGAAATTTGAATTTCGAAAAATATAAACAAGTAAAGAACAATATGTTTATACTTAAAAATGTTCAGAAGACAAAGCAAATAACTTTTTTTGTTTTGTTCTTGATACTTTTAATGACTGTTTATATGTTCAGCTATCTAAGAAGTACTGTTTTAACGATACTCGTATGTTCAAAAAAAAAAAAGAATAAAAAATATTTTGGCTTACCTGATTCAACGCTTAAGAACTCAATAAAAAGTGATGTACTGTTGAATCGGCACGCGTGATGTGTTGAGTATTTCAGTTGTTGTGATTTCACTGTTTCATTCGAAATCCGACGAGACACTATGAATATGAAGCAAATCCAATAAAAATCAGTTAATTGCAATTTAAATCGATCAATTCAATTCATATGAATTTAATGGAAGGAAATAATAATTTTTTATGGTTATATGTAAATAATGTTGTTTTATGAACTGCGCGTATGTGTGAAAGATAGAACAAACTTCACACGTAAAATGTAAACAAAAGTTGAACATTAAAATATTAAATCGAAACACCGGTCATTTCTGTAAATACCGGCGCCCCAAGTAATTGTTCAATCTGAATGAATTTTGACCACAATCAATTAGACAACAATTTTAAAGCATAACGATAAAAACAAAAAAAAATCTATATAAATGTGATTATAAATATTATTGTTATGATGTGCGATAACTTTTATTGCCTCTTTGAAGTTTTATTGGCTTTATTTTGTTTGTAGTTTTTTCGTCATTTGATGTAGTTATTTGTCCGAGCCATTTCTAAAATAAAATAACATTTTTTGTGTGTGTAAATAAACATGAACATAAACGGGTGGACGAGCGCGTGAAAAGGAGTCAAACACACAAGCTCAAAGAGAAAAACACCGGAATATACACGAAAAAAAAGACTGCTGATGATAATAATCACTTTTGATTGATCGTTAAAAAAAACGGAATAATTAAAATAGACTTATTACGTGTACGGGTTGGCATAAATTGTTTGTTTAGTATGTTTTATTGGTCAGATTTGATTGCTTTCGGATTCAAAATGGATTAATTTTAATTAAGTAATTCAAACAACGCGATATGAAAGCCTCAATAATAATTAAATACTCATTTTATATGGCTCACGGTTTTTATGCAGGGATTAAAAAACACTTTTGTAAATTTTTCATTTTGTCGCACATCATTTCACCCGTCAAACACGGTAGTTTAATGCTCTTAATTTCGTTTATATTGATATTAAAATGATTTAATTAGTTCATTTGCAGAATTATTATTATTATTTCACATAACGTTGCAAAAATGATTGAGAAATTATAAATCAAATGATGTGTGAGTAATTTTCTTACAAATTCAAAGTAGCGATGTGGATTTTATTTCAAAACCTCCACTGGTTGTTTGATAAATTCCGTGTCGACTTTTTCCCACAAATGGTTACACTTAACTGTTCGATATATTTGTGACTGAGAAAACGTCTTCTTCTTCGGTCGAGTGACGGAATTGAATACACGATTCAAGCCAAAAGAAAAGAAAAGCACGGCTAGAATGAGTCCGATCCGAGAATTGATGATAGATAAGGAAAAATCATGCGACACGCCGCCGAAAAAAAAAATGGAATATAAAAATGTGCCTTGCTTTCGAGTGTGCGCACATACGAGCAGCTGAAGAAGAAGAAAAAAACCTCGTCTATATGCTTTGTCAACGCTTATATTTACACAATGATTGTATACAAATAAAAATTACCTACATTTATTGTAACGAAACTGTTCGATGTATATAAGCGCTATAGAATGTATAAATGAAACGACAAACAACAATCTCAATACAAAACGAATGCCAACAATTTTTGAATGGATATAAATCATTCGGCGAACAAGAAACTGGAGTAAAGAATCGTCGTTCAATCGTAAAATTGTCTATTTTTGTCTGTTTTGCTCATCCCAATCGAGCATTTGTTCAATGCACACAGGAAATCTGAATGGAATCGAACACAACACGAACAATCGAAAACGTTTTTCAAAAGACGATTTTTTCTATTGAATCAAAAACAATTTTCTCACACATTTACACAAATCGAAACATTTTTATCTATCTTTTGAATCATCGGAGACGCCCTTCGATGACCAACAAATGAAATTGATTTACAGACACCATCTTGAAGATTGTCTCTCTTTTCTTCGGAGTTTAATTTAAATGAGATTTTTCGATAAATTACTATCATCCTGAGAATCTTAAATAACCACAATTTTAATGATAATATTTGAATTTGCGACGGCATCTCAACGAAATCATGCCTGTTTGGAAGACATTCAAAAAACAGACCATATGATAAAATATGTTGAACAGTTCCATTTGATAATACGTCAAAAAAAAACTGGATAAAAATCGATCAAAAAAAAGACGAGCAAAATGTGTGAATAATTTAATGATCATGAGAACAGATGACGAAAGCAACAGCCTATGCTATACCATTTAAACGTAGATTACACTGTTGAATTCATTCAAAATACACAATTATAAAGAAGAGCGAAAGGCTTAAAGTGCTCACAACGCACTCAGACTCAAATAAAATTTTATGGCACTTGGAATTGGTCGGTGGAATGGATCAGTCTTAATGACGACTTTAAAATAAATAAATAACTGTAGATGGTTTTCCGTTCAACAACAACAGCAACAGCAATGACGGCGGTGCCGGCGACCATTTCGATGATTTTCAACAGTGTGGACAATTTTTAACACATTTTGGTTTAAGTTTTACTACTAAAACTGAATACAAGGCAAAACGGAAGCATTTGAAATTTTATTTATTGACCATTAAACTACACAAATTATCAAACATACACACACTCATCACTTGCGATGGCATTTAATGCTTGTGATGTGATGCGAAATGAGCAGAACATAAAGATAAAATCATTTTTTTTATATATATATCCCTTTTTCTTCGGTTTAATTTTTCTTTTTCTCCACACAAAATGATGGTAAATTGGAAAATGTGCGTTTGGCCACTTGTTTGTTACATTTCTGAAACGCATTTCGTAAGGTGGCCCAAAATGATTCTAAATTAGATCAAAGTGCTCTTTGATTGTGGTTTGTACATTCACATGTGGTTTCTGTTTCAAGTATTTCACATTTAATCATACTTTCGTTTTTCATTCAAACCATCGAATTCTTGATTGGAACAAGTTTATGGATCCACGACTATAATCTTTTATCTCTGTGACATTAAAAACCGATACGTGAGTTTCAGCATAACGGAAGTTTGCTACATTGTGATCACAAAATAATGTCAATTGCCTGATATTAAATTTATATTGGAAAAGCTCACATCTATTACCGTTACATTTTCCGCCAGACACAATGTAACAAAATCTTTTAATGAAATGCAATCAATTTGAAAATGAATTACGTGGAATTCGTGGAAACAATTTTCCTACTATAAAATACCATATATGGCTCTAAGAAGTTGTTACTTTTCGTTCAGTTTTATTGAATCACTGCAAAGAACTTTAGGTTTCTCAATATTTATACTTTGTAATTTTCTGCACGAGATTTTTTTCATTCTTTGAATGCACAAATTCAATTGATATTCAATATCTGATTTTCGCTCGACAACATTTCTGACTCAAAACATTCCGTCACTGAGCCAAACTAACCAAAAGAAATTTCTTGACCGCACAAATATTTCGTCTTCGAATGAAAAGAAAAGACGTCAGATGTTTCATCATGAAATAAATCTTCATGGTTTCATTTTTCGATTGAGAACAATGTTGTTATTTATTGTTTTGAATGTTAATGGGTTCAATTTTATCATCTTCTTCAGAAAAAAAACAGCGACGGCACTAGACAGAATTCCATATGAATAGAAATAAATCGCGCGTCGTTGAGTCAAACAAAGAGTTAACATTGTATTTATCTATTAATTCACACCTTTGACTGGATAACACAATATTTATTTATCACAAATAAAAAAATTGTAAACTCTTTGTCTTTGTCACCATAATTGAATGAAAAAAAAGCGCGGTATTCATTTCCATTGTTCCATTGAAGATTTTTGTATTTTTTTTTCGCGTTGTCGTGGAGCGACGGCGGCATCGATTGACAAAATTTCGGTAAACAGTTTACATCACATCCGATTTGAAAATTCTAAACCTAGTTTTTTTTTTTGATTAAACAGTGATATGGTTGAATTGTAGAAACAATATTGAAAGTGACACTGAGACTGATTCCAAAAAAAGAACGTGTTATCATCTTGAATACATCAGAAGATTTGGTTAATATTTCCGTTTCACCGAGAATCGTCAACAAATATGCAAACATTGACCGGGTTCAAGAAAATGCGTGCCGCATGTATGCACCAACAAACAAAGCATAAAAATCAAGCCAAGAGCTTCTTCCGAAATTTAACACTTTTTTCTTCTTCTTTTTCGTCTCTTTGATATCGAACACATTCGTGGCATTTGCTTGTCATGCATTCTTGACATTGAAACGAACGAAATAAATCACACATGACGAATGAATAGAGAACAAAACCGAAAGTGAACATATATTTAAACTAAAAGCAACTGTGGTTTTATGATCCAGTCATAAAATCTATAGAAATCTGTTTCGATTTTCTTTTCTAAAAAAACTGCATCAAAACTGAAAATACAAATATTTTTATGTGGTCAAAAGCGGCTTACTTACGTTGATTTCTGATCTTCAGTTTTTGTTTTGTTTTTTTCACCCGTGGAGCGTAACATCGGATCGAAGATTTGGTTCGCATCGGCTGTTGTTCCAGTTTCTTTGTTTGCCTCGATGCAACGTTTTTATTGCCCAGTATTTCTTCGAAGCAACATTTTTTTGATGCAATAAATATTTTTGTTTTCCAATTTCAACTTATGCAACCATGAAGCGATAGACAGTTACCATGAAACAGAAGCAACAATTTCAGACTGTTTTGCACGCATATACATATCATCATTCCGTTCATTCTCAAACGAGAGTTTTTTTTTTGTTGGACAGAAAATTAGCTTCTTCGGTCAAGTTGTAAATCAATTGAAGATGCGAATAAATTTCGTTTGAATTTATTTTCATCGAATTTATGGTTCCAATTAAATATTCAAGAGACTTGCCAATTTAGGTTCATCACCCCGGGAACGATGAATCATCGTCCATTTGATGAAATAAAAACGTACAATTGGTTGTACGAACGAATTCAACGAAATAAAACTTTGTCAAAGCGAATCAACATCATTAAAATGTGATGTGTTCAATTCGGCAAACAGAGAAAAGGAGAGCGGAAGAGAGAGAGAGATAGAGCGAGAGTCAGCCATTGAAGTTTATTGATCTGAGTTCGATTTTATTGTTGATTTAGTAAATTAAATTGTATATACGCCATCTTTGCAAAACATGGGGGATGGAACCATAAGCAACCTCTTGCATTATTATTATACGCTTTCATATCGGATAACAATGGCAAATGCACAGAAAAAGGGAGAGAAAAAAATCCCATTTTTGTGACAGACTTTTGATGTAATCTCATCATTCCAAACAGCCGGTACGTAGTTCGTATTTATTTTTTTTTTCTCTTTTATTATCAAACGGTGCCGCAAGATACAATTTTTCCAATAAATAGATTTTTGTCTTATTCGACATATTCAGTGTCATAAAATGGCTGCTTTTGCAATGTCATGTCCTCTCTCTGGCGTGGTCTGAAGCGATAAAAAAATACAATTCTTTTTGCTCCGCTTTTCGTTTAGAAATTTTATATGTTTCATTTATTCAAGTGGTTTGTCGTGTTTCGCATTTTATTGAGATATTCTAAGTCGTGAACGCGGGCGGGAAATATAATCGCTTTTGTCTAACAGCGATAACTGTGCCAAAACATGCCGTTGATAAGCACAATATAAACTAATAACACATTTATCGAATGCACGTTCGGTATGGGCTATAAACTTTGGAAAATTTCATAGTAAATATTTGCTCATTTGATTCACTTCGTTCTTTGCTCGCCATTTTTTTCTCTCTTTCACTCGTCATCATCTTTGTGTTTATTCCGTTAGCTTTGTTTTATTGAGAGCGGATTTTCATGATAACAAAAATGATTATAGTCAAATGTGAAGATCAAACGACTCTTTCTGCAACCGCACACAAAATTACTAGGTTCCTTTTATGATCTCCACGCAGGGACTAAATTAGAAATACTTACGACACTGATACGAATGTGTTAAATGAAAAGACAACCTTTTAAAGTATATCTTCCTTTAAAAAAATGAATAAATGTAGATGAAGTTTTATTGGTAAAATGTTGAGTTATAAAAGATTACAAAATGAATTTTGATAAAAAAAAGAATAGGCAATTCTATTTTGAATCTTATTGGTGAGTTTTTTCGTGTTTTTTTTTAATAAAGCCCAAAGATACACGTCCAAATGACTTAGATTAATTGTCAATCCGTCGGACGCTTTTTTCTAAGACAGTTTTGTTAATATTTTTTTCAAAAGTTTATTTTTGATATAAATTCATTCATAAATACCCACCTTGTTCGCATTTAAAAAATGCTTCATTCATTATGCAATCTCAAGCTACAGTTCTGTGTTCATTTTAGTCGCTGGTATAACTTACCATGCATATGTCATTCCTATTACATTAATGCATCCCAGAGGGTTATAAATTTTTTTATTTGTGGACTTTTATGTTCGAATTTTCGACGTTGCATATCCCGCACATTATTATTAAGATGAAATTGACTTCATTAGAATTCGTGCATTATGAGTCTTACTCTTCACATCTTCAGAGAGTTGATAAAAATAAAAGATCCGTACGTGACATTTGTAATTTTATGTAACAAATCGCTTGAATAAAAGAAGCAATCTTTGTGGAAAATTTTCCTTTATTTCAAATTATTCTCTCATAAAATAATTTTCAAATAATTCAACAATCTATTTGAAAAAGGAATGGATGTGTTGTGTAGTAGATTACAATTTACCGCTTATTAGAATTTCTTAAAAAAATATACATACGAAGAGAGATAGAAAATAAAAATAATGATTAGATATGTTCAATATATGCTTGATTTTTTTTTTCTATCGTTAGAAAACCAGAATTCAACGCGCATATGAATTTCCATTTTGTTTAAATAAATTAGACATTATCTACAAATATAAGAATTGGACTAAAAAAAATCAGTTGCATTTTCTAATTAGTGAAGATTCGTGTAAAAATATATACTTTAGATTCCCGATTTCGGTTTTTGTTCAATATAGGTTGTTTTTGATCACACTTGATTTTGATAAGGCGATTTCATAAATAAACTGCGCGCATTCTTGGATTCAATCAATTTGTTCGAGTTTTAAAGACAAAATATTCGATTAGTAATTATTTTACATCTAGTTTGCTAATAATTTTTTTTTATAAAATAGCAAAATTCAACAATTATTTTGATTAATTTTAGTAAAAAGGCCACTCGGATAAAAACAGTGTAGGTATTTGTGTATAAAAATTAATTCGATTAATTCATGCTTTGTTGTTTATTGTTCATGTCGGCATTTTTACGTGCGAGTATGTGTAAACTTGGAACGGACAAAAGGCTCTTTATTCTATAACGTGTCCAATGATGACGACGCTTCAACCACTGTTGAATACAAAACAAAAATTAATTAATAAAAAACGAATGCTGGAAGATTTCCCGAAAATGTTGAAAAAGTTGAAAATCAATCAATTTTTACAAAAATGAAAAATGAATAAAAAATACCTTTTAACTGATGATTGCATTCGATATGGATTTTGTAAGATTTTCGGATGTGTTTCCATCACACGCAATAGCAAATTGTCTAAATAGTCTTCCATCTCTTTCATTTTGTTCTTCTGTGATTTGACTTCATTCTCCAAAGAATTTGCTAATAGAATCATTTCCTGCAAGAAAAAACGAATCACGAAATCGTATAATAAATATAAATATTTGATTTATATTTAATAAAAAAGGTTAATTTTTTTATGTCAACTTACTTCTCTCGATTTCCCTTCATATTTTTTCAACAATGCCGGCGGTACTTCAACCGTCTTATGACCGAGAATATCATTCTCATGTCCGACAATAATGCGTTCGCCAAATTGACGTTGTTGATTTGGTGTATTTTTGTTTGAATGTACTTCGTCCGAAGCATCGTTGTGTTTGTCTTTTCGGAAGTACTTTAATTTATTTGTAAAACGTTTTTCAGATTTTTCTTTCTTTTCCTTATGCGATGTATCGCGTGGCAATGTCGATGACAATTCATAGGTTTTTTGCGGTACACTATCGATAATATCATTTTGTGTAGTCTCATCAAATGGATTTGTATTGATATCGTCGTCAAATGGATTTGAATTGTTCAATGTTGATTGTTTGGTTTCGTTTTCTTCATCAAATGGATTCGATTGTTCAACTCGTTTTTGTGGTTCCCATGATCGCCTTTTAAGTGAATCGGTCATTGCATCTACATTTTTACCGTACAATTTTGTTTCCCATTCATCGACTTGGAGTGATTGTCGTTTTGCCACTTCTGGTTTTGGTGCGGTAATTCGTGGTGGTTCATCATCAACGACCATATTTACATTGGCAAATGATGATGAATACGATTGACGAGCAAGTGGCGATGGTGCTTGTGGTGTATTTTGTAATGTTTTCGACTTCAAATTTATTGAACTGGCCGAACTTTTATTCGATAAATTGTCAAAAGCAAATTCATCGTCGTCTTCACTAATCACACCCGGATCAGCATCGCCACGTGCTTGAGTACCTTCAAATCGTCTATCATCAAAACGATTACTACCGGTCATACTCAAACTAGATACACTACTTGAAATCGAATCAGTGTCTTTATCCTTCTTCTTGCTACTGATGTGCATTTTCGAACCAATCGATTTGGCGAATTTCTTTAAACTCTTTCGCTTCTCCAGCGTATTCAAACTTAATAGGCTGCCACCTAAGCCCAGCGTGGATGATTTGTTCTTCTCTTTTTTACTCAAATCGGTCAATGAACCAGCCTTAACGGTGAACGCAACACGAACCTCCAAATCTCCACGCTCTTTATCCTTTTTATCTTTGCCCGGTTTACTTTGTAATTTATACAAACGGGATCTTGGCCGTTCGTAGGCATCCATCTCATTTAGCGGAAGTGTTACTTGACCCAAGAATTCATCCATACCCAAATTGTTACGGTGCAAACATGTTAACACCAATTCAGCACGATTACCACGCTCCGGAATTGTTCTGAAAAATTATTATTACAGTTCAAACGATGTATTTTCTTTTAATGAAGTTCAATGAATATCGTAATTAATTATATTAAGAGGTAGATTTACATACAATTCACATTCTTCACGCCATTCAACATTTTGTATGGCTTTTTCTTTGATCGATGTTTGGTACTTTTCCTTTCCCAATGCAATCGTGACGAAACAGTTGTTTGTGCCATTTTTACCTTTTGTCAGCAAACCTTTTGCACTTAAAACTAAAAAAGAGAAATAAATGAGAAAACATAAAAAAATATTAAACATTTGAAATTATTTGCTACTTTTATTCAATCATTCAGATGATGTTCACTTGAAATTATCCACTGATTCAATTAAATAGTGAATTCGGTGAACTTCAGCGCACTCCAAAGTCAAACGAAAAAAAAAAAAACAGTTTCGCGTAACATTATTTGCATATTTTATTATGTACACATAGAACATGCTTGGTGTACATTTTTTTCTCTTTCTTTTCCGTCATCATTCGTTCGTCTTGTTGTGGTTAGTGTTATTGTTGTTGTTTTTCAGTTGTTTATCGCTGAATCTCAATGGAAAAAATTCTTTTTACTTTCAAAAAAAGGCCGAGTGAATACAATGAGTAATTGGTATGGACAGATCGCACGCATTGCCAATGAAATTTTGGTCACAGCCAAATTTGTAAATGTGTTTGCTTGTGTGTGTGTTTGTTTTGGGAATTGTTTTGCACATTTTTATAAAATAAAACATAAATACGAAACGTAACGGATTTTAGCAACACTTTAACGAATTTAAGTAGAACAAAAGAATACGATCATCACGAGAATGAATGGTGCTTGCTGTAGCGCATGATCTCTTTTTATAGGTACACATTAAAATGAATAGCGCGGCAAACGAATAAAAAAATAGGTCGATGAAACGCTTATTGAAATTCTCATTCTCTCTATATCTTTCTTCGTTTCTTTGTGAAATGTGACGCGATGCACACGGATTTGATCAATCTTATTTGATTCTAGTTGACACGACGACAATTCATCATACAATTCAATCACCGATTCTAATCGAAGAATTTAATGAATAAAAAAAACGTTTCTATTCTAATACCTGTAACTTGAATGTGTGTTGGACTCCACATTTTCAATAGATTCGATCAATTTGCACGTAATTCAAAACAAGCCGAGCGAGCGAAAAAAAAACAAAATCAATTATGTCCGGTTTGTATGTGTATGTTTGCGATAAGTGTTTTATTCCGTCGTTGTATTTGCGATTGATATGGACACTATTTACTAAAATGACACTTTGCAATTAGACATTTACGTCGACTGTATTTGTAAACGCAAACAAACGGACGATGATTCACATGCACGATTATTATTATTATTATCACAAAACACGTAACAAATCTACACTGATGTCGTTGCTGTGATTTGAACTCACACTCCTGCAAAAAATTAAAAAAAAAAAATGTTGAACTTGAAAATCAGTAATTGATAAAGAATGATCATGTCACATCACCGACCAAGAAATATAACATTGAAAATGCATAGGAATTTCAATAATGAAAGAAAAGAAATTAAGCAATTCACTCACTTAAAGCTCACGTACAAACGATGACACAATGAACATAACGAAACTCTCTGTCTATTCAGAAAAGAAATTTACAGACATTGAAAAAAAAGAGAAATAAATATCATTTCCAATTACACTGCATTAAAATTAGATGCAAACCGAAGAAGAAAAAATTGCAACAACACACAATAGCAAATAACTAATTAGATATTTTGCATAAAACAAGAGAAAAAAAATATAAAACATACATCGAAATAAAACGAGCAAATAAAACAAAATCCACTACTTTCGACTTACAGCCACAGCAAAACTTTGACGAATCGAATGGGAAAAGGCAAAACAATAATGAAGAATGTTTTAATTTTGGTTCAACTCATTGATGTATACGATGATCTCTTGTACAGTAATTTATTGTATTTGTTGAAGTGTGTTGTGCTATGCTTAGGTGTAGAATTTTCACTGCATCAGACATTTCATAAACATCACCTATGGCAACCTTTTTTTCGTCAGGGTTACCCATTGCTCTTTCAATGTATTTTATTTGTGATTGCTAATTTGTTCTCTTTTCAATTTAATCTAGAATATTTGAAAATTGAGATTTTTTTTTTTAAAATCATCTTTGATTCCAAATCCTACTCTCATTGATTCCTGGTTCATTTTGATTTGTCATCAATTACTATTTCAAGGTACTCGTTTTTATCTTCAAGTTCATTTGATTTGGCCAGCCCTGCACGATTCAAAACACACAGCATGATGACAGCTATGTGTGTTATTTTGTTTTGTTTTGTGCAGCAAGTCACTTTATTTCGCGCCATAGTACGGTTAATATTGCACCAAACGAATTTCCAATCGATATCGAATTAATAAAATAATCGGAAAAATGGCACCACGTGGGCAAGCCCAAACACAGCAAGGTGAGCTGAAATCGATGAAAAACTCAATGATTCGCTATATCTTGAATATGTCATCAAAGAAAACACCAATCAAGAGTGCCGACATTGTGCGAAAGTGTTTACAAGGTGAACAAAAAATGTTTGTACGGCTATTGCCCGAGGTGCAAGACATTTTAAGCGATGTAAGTCAACCAATTTCACTTAATTGATCAAACATTTACGAAAATTTCTTTTTATATTGATTATTGTCACTATTGTTTCAGGTGTATGGTTATCAATTAAATGAAATCAAAGAAAAAACCGGCAAATGCTATTTGGTTACAACGGAGCTAACAGGTCAATCAGCAGCCAATCTTACGGTAAACCAACGTGAAGAGTTGCGTTTATTGTTCATCGTATTGTCGTACATTTTTATGAAAGGCGGTAAAGTCATGGAAGCGGTTTTATTTGGTTTTTTAAAAAAGCTAGACATTGAAGAAGAACCACACGAATATTTTGGCAACTTCAGAACGCTCATCACCGAACCATTTGTCAAGCAAATGTACTTAAAAAAGGAAAAGATTGAAATGGAAAATACCAACATGGATGATAAGTTAGTTTTGATTCAATTCTTTTTGTTGAACTTATTTCAAAAATTATGAATTTTTCTTTGAAGATTCGAGTACAGCTGGGGTCCTCGTGCCGATTTAGAATTCAATAAGAAGGATTGCTTGGAATGGGTGGCAAAGGTAAATAAATTCAATCGCTGCTATGTAGAAAGATGTAAAATAATTTTGATTTTTATAGATTATGAAAAAGCCAGCATCGTCATTTGTTAAGCAATGGAATGAATGTCAGAGCGAAGATGAAGATGTCGAAATGGAGGAATAGAAATTGATGTCCATTCGATGAAATTTTTTAAAAATATATATTTATACTGATCTGTTATACCTCCATAAAATGTTATTGAAATAATTTAAATAATAAAATTAATTTAATCGTTTTTCTATTTTTGCTACTTTAAATTGTACGTCTCTTTTATTTCACTGAATACAAAGTAAAGTTTTAATTTAATGCACACAGATGGTGCTATGAACGCCCCTCCAAACATTCAATTTGAACAAATCGCAAGCTGTCAAAATATTTGAATCAAAACAAGTTGTACACTTCGATCTACGGTAAAAAAAGAAGCATTCCGCCGCGTCCCCGAAAAAAGCATTTTTATTCAGCAAAACATTGTTTCTCCCACAAGAATTGTTTGAACTGACACCTCAAATGGACAAAAAATCCAATAAGCATTGGTATCGTTTAAAGAAAAAAATAAAACTTGGTGCGAGAAAACGAAATAAAACCAGCAAAACGGTAAAAACTTAAGGTAAAACAATATACTTGATGGTAAAATGTGAATATTGTTGCTTATTTTAGGCCAGTGAATCAATACAAACGAATGAGCCATTGCATTTCATATTGAATCAACCATCAAACCGTCATAGTCGTCCATCGTTTTTCAGTTGTTTGAGCCAAAATGCACCAAAGTCAGGCCACAAAGAGTCGCCAATCTATTGCGCAACCAAACAATCACAACTGAAACGGCGACAAAAGCATTTATTGTCGCAAGTACAACATTCAGACTCGAATAAGAAGTGCATGGTCATTGATTTAGATGAAACATTAATACATAGCAGTTTCCAACCAATTTCGAATCCTGATTTTGTTGTACCGGTTCCAATCGATGGCATGGTTCACTTGGTGTACGTACTAAAACGACCCCATGTTGATACATTTCTTCAGAAAATGGGTGAACTGTATGAATGTGTACTATTCACCGCATCATTGGCCATGTATGCCGATCCAATAATCGATTTAATTGACAAATGTGGAGTATTTCGAGAGCGTTTGTTTCGTGAATCGTGCGATTATCATCGTGGAAATTATGTTAAAGACTTGGATAAATTGGGACGTGATTTACAAAAGGTTATCATCGCTGATAATTCACCGGCCAGCTATACGTTTCATCCATACAACGCCGTTCCGATTACATCATGGTTTGACGATGACACCGATTCGGAGCTACTCGATTTGATACCATTGTTTGAAGAACTTAGCAAAGTCGATTCGGTGTACAGCATTTTAGGTAATACCAACAAAATGTTGATGACACCCCTACAATAATAGAAGCAATGGAACTGTTGATATCCAAACATACATTTCATTTCATACACTGACCTGTGATTGTCAAAACTTAAAATTGTTAACTAAATATGCAAAGAAAAAAATATTTTTTATGGAGCTGTGAAAAATAGCCTTAATTACCTGTTGTTGAAATAATTCTAAGAATAAAATTGATTTAAACGTTTTGTTTTTTGTACTTTGAAAATATTTCTTTTATTTGACTGAATTCCAGTAATGGTTATTGTTCATTGCACACAGATTGAGTTAGGATCGCACATTCAAACCATTATGTAGCTGTCAAACATTGTAATCAAAACATATAAACAAATCGCACATTTGTTTCCCTATTCTTTTCTTGTGCTGGAACATCGCAAGCAATGGATAAAAAAATCGACAAAAATTTACATCGTTTAGAAAAAAAAGCCATACTTGAGGCGGAAAAACGAAATAAGCCGGGCGAATGTTTGAAGGTAAATAGAAATATTAACAATTGTCTGACTTAATAGTATGGTTTAAATTGTCTTGCAGTACGTTCAAGCGATCATCGATGAAGATCTAACGAATGAGATGATTGGATCAAAAATTCTGGCCTCAGCAAATATAGGTTATAAACTGGTTAATGCTCCCATTCCCAGAACAATTTTTTGGCAACGTTCTGTTCAGCAAACATTGAAGGGGACAAACAATGAGGTAATTTTATTTTTTCTGTGACCAAACCTATTTACTAATTTTATGACGAAAAAAACCTGTTGAACCCAGATGTGCTTGGACGAGAAATACCAAGATGAAGATATTTTGTTACACATAATGACAGCTTCTGAGCTCAATTCATACAGCATCAGTCATAATCTGGTCGATCATATCAAAACAATTGCTGATATTTATCCGGGAAAAAAATTGTCGTTAATGATATTCGGTCTGAAGGAGTATTGTCGTAATAATCGTGCAAATATTGGTCGAACCGCTTTTGAAACAGCGCTGACTGAACTACAATTACTACATAACATCAGCCATCGACTGTTGGATACTGCTGAAGATGTTGCCCAAGTATTCTTACAGTTTAGCAAAAGCATCGCCGAAAAACCATACAAGTAACTATAATGTCACGATTAATCAGAGGTTTTGTTAAATTTGTTGTTTCTAATTGTAGAAAAGAGCGCGAAGAGAAAATGTCGGGACAAAATTTTTATTTGGCAAATGACAACAAAGACTGTGTACGAGTTAAGGATAATATCGGCTTGACGAATTTGTGGAAAAATCATTTGTGTAAATTTCCAACGGTCACACTGGATACGGCTGAAGCAATAATTCAAAAATATCCAACTGCTTCCAAATTGATTGAGGTAAAACAAGTGTCTAAGAGAATGTCAACATGTTTTTAAGAGAAAAAATATCGTTGCAGGCCTATGAATCCAATAATGCAAATGGCCCATTGCTTTTGGCCGATATACCAATTCGCAGATCAGCAATCGGACCAATAAGCTCATCCCGGAAAATTGGCGCTGAGCTCAGTCGAAAAATACATTCATTTTACACACAATCGATTGCGGATTTTGTACTTCAATAATAATTGTGCATGCAACGAAAGAAAAAAAATGCTTGTTGACAATTCAAAATGTTCCAATTGCATGTCGCAACGCCATCACTCGTCATAACATTGAACTTTTACCCTATTGAGTATTTTGTTATATTCCGTATAAGAGTGTAGCGTGATATGCACATTCTCTTATAATGGAATAAATCACGTAGAATTATATTTCCAAGAAATTTTAAACAATAAACATTTAAAAATAATTCGACTTAATTTCATTTTTTCAACGATATTGTTGCCCATGAAATGGAAAAATAAAATGCGAAAAAGTCTTAAATAACTGAACAAAGAATGTCGAGCGCCAAAGTATCAGCGCCGCGCCCAGATTATTCATCGTATTTATTGTACAATTTTTTACCAATAGGGTACAAACTACGCAAGTTGACAGCAACAACGAACATATATTTATTGGCAAGTTGACAGCACAGTCGAATATATAACAAAAATATTTTATAAGCCATTTTTTTCATTTGCTTTTTATTTTTCGTCGCTCGTCTCTCGTTCATTTTTGAGTTCAAATGTTGAGAAGCCACTTGAAAGCCAAAATAGTATCGTTGAAAGTGAAAATTCGGTACACAATATAAGTTTTATATACATGTTCATATCAAAAAGACGAAATGTGTCGAAACAGTCTGTGAGAGAAAGAGAGTGAGAGAGAGAAAGAAAGAAGAGAAGGAACAAAAATTCAATTCTTTCTTTTTTTTTATTGTGAAATATATATTTTTTGACAAAGTCGTTTTTTATTCGGTCTGGTGTCTGTACAAGTCGTCAATAAAATGCAATAAAATAGTAAATACTGGCTGATGGCTGCATGAAATAAGACAAATCAACCGAACTAAAAAGTTGTTGTTCCCGAAAACTATATACATATATTACTACGGTGCAGATTTTAAATTAGATACACGATTTTAACTCAATCATAAAATTAGCCACACAGTCAACGTGTGGTTGTGTATGCATATAAATAGCCATTTCACGTGTATAGATGTATGCAAACGTGTGTGTGTCAACAGACGAACGTACGGAAAGAAAAATAAAAAACAAAATATATTGAAAGCAACAAGAAAAAAATCAAATTGAAAGAAGCGAAAAAAAAAAGTTTATAAAATTTATACAGCATTTCAAACATACATTTGGACATAAGACAACGAGAGAAGAGGAAAAAAATATGCGAGTTAATAAATGTGAATGGGTTGATTTTGGCGAAGCAAGCACTGGAATTAGAACAAATCATACAGCATTAAACATACAGAAACAATTGATTGAATGAGCTCAGTGAAGTGAGAAACAAAGATAGAGAGAGACAGAGAAAAAAAAACTAAATAAGAAACAATAATACGCGCGCCTATATGCTCCTACTTAACAACACAACACTGCTCGTTCGTATAAAGTAAAGTGAAATTATTACTGAGCGTTGTGTGTACGAATTGGAATTCATTATCGAAAATGGTTTATGTCATCATCTGATTGTTTTTCATTGAATGTTTCATGGAAAAGTCAAGATAAAATAAAGAAAACAGTAAACGATAGCAACAACGATAAAGAAAAAAGCAAAGAGACAAGTTTATTATTTATTTTTTTCTCGGTTTAATGTGAAACTTTAAAGTGAGAGAGACTTGAAACGAAATCAAATAATGAAGCAAAAACGTTTGGACAATTTGCAGTCCGCTGATTATTAATGTGAAACTACTCAAAAGCCATACACACATTTCTATTACGATAAAATACATACAAAATTGGCAACATACGATCATAACACAGTCCAAAGGAAACACATATTTTCAATTGAATACGCTCAGTTGAAGAGAAAAAAAAAAAAAACGAAAAAAGTGAAGCATTGAGAACGACATAAAGAACCGAACGCCAATAAGAGACGTACAATGTGAATGGTCGAGTTTCGGTAGTGTTAAAGGTCATTTTCAATATCATAAATTCTAATTATTTTTGTGCATTTCGTTTGTGTCTTTAATTTTATTTCGTTTCGTTACAATTGCTATTCAATTAAATCGCACACACGCGAACACACATATAAAAACAACAACAACAACAACTAAAACCAAAAGTCATAATTTTTCGTTTCGTGACCACCATTCGTAAGCGGAATTCAAGTAATATTCTAAAGTGTTTGCATCGACAAGGAAGAAAAAATAAACAAAAAGTACACGATATATCGATGTAGAGTAAACAAACATACAGTTAAAATACACACAGAGAAGTAAAAGCATCAGGTGCTCAAGATTCCACTGGCGAAAAAAAGACGACGAATATTGCACACGCAAACGAATAAACAGAGAGAGAGATTTTATTTTATTTCGAACGAAATAGTGTTAAAATAAAAAACGCGACTACGACATATACGCAGACAAATACGTATTTAATCTAATACTGAATAGAAATCAGTAAAGCGACGAAGTCGACAATAAAAAATCAAAACAAAGCCCAATTTACAAGGTTCCATCATCATCATCAGTTGTGAATAAGGAAAACGAACAACAGCTACGATTAATAACTACAATAATTTTTTTTAAAAAAGCAAACAACAACAAAATCACCAAATCTCATCCACAGTTGCCGCAAAATAAACACTGAGCTTATTTCAATGGACGCAACGTCTATCATAACGCAGGTATCCCGTGAAGATGAGCAATTGAATGCAAATTCAACTGACAAAGAGGATTTCATCGAAATAGATATATTGAAACGGCCGGATCGTGGTATTCTCCGATCGATATTCTGTTGTTGGCGCCGAAATGTATCAAAGTCAAGCCAAAGTGGAACGCCAATCGATGGCACAACAACACCGCCACCACTACAGCGACCACAGAAACATTTACTGCCCCAAGTACGACATTCAGACACAAATAAGAAGTGCATGGTCATTGATTTAGATGAAACATTAGTACATAGTAGCTTCAAACCAATTGCAAATGCCGATTTTATTGTGCCTGTTGAAATCGATGGCACCGTTCATCAGGTGTATGTACTAAAACGGCCCCATGTCGATACGTTTCTTCAGAAAATGGGCGAACTGTATGAATGTGTATTATTCACCGCATCATTGGCAACGTATGCCGATCCTGTAGCCGATTTACTTGATAAATCTGGTGTATTTCGAGCGCGTTTATTTCGTGAATCGTGCGTTTATCATCGTGGCAATTATGTTAAAGATTTAAATAAATTGGGACGTGATTTACAGAAAATTGTTATCGTCGATAATTCACCGGCCAGTTATATATTTCATCCAGACAATGCCGTTCCAGTGAAATCATGGTTTGACGATGTCACCGATTCCGAGCTACTCGATTTGATACCATTGTTTGAAAAACTTAGCAAAGTCGATTCGGTGTACAGCGTTTTATGTAATTCCAACAATCACTTGAAGCCTGCCACACAACAACAGCAACTGCCACAATCGCCGCAACAGCATCAGCAGCAACAGCAACAACAATCGAATCAACAACAAAAACAACACGAAAATTCACGGAATTCAACGACAGATGAAGAACATTCGTAGCGATTGGAATATCATTTCATCAAAAATTTTTAAATGTCTGTAAATAAATGTCTAATTTGATAGCAATTACGATTTTTACATTGATGTCGGAACACATTTTATTAACTGATTATAACAAATCGTGCGTTTAGTTATTTTTGTTTTTGTTTTGTAGGGTTTTTTATCTGTTTTGGTTAGTTTATTTTTGAATCAAGTAAAATTGAACCAAACCCAGGAAACTTAATATTCACACGTAACATTGACACATATTAAAACAAGCATGAATGTCAAATAAAAACATTGATCAAATTTCAATTCAATATTAACGGATTCATTTACGACCATTTTTTTCATTTCGGACACATTCACATAAAAGCATTACAATTAATCAATTTGTATTAAAGTTCGTATATACATATATAAAAAACGTATATTTAAAAAAAACGTCACATTTCAATCGCAAACCGACTCTAAATCCGTTTTCATTTTTTTCCGCCGAATAATATACACACACACACACACACACAAAATATGACACACGAGAAAAATAACATCCAATTAAGAAAATAAAAGTATATTTAATACAAAGATACGACTAACAATTTCACACAAAATTTTCAAATGTCACACTTGCCGCAACGCTGTCTTGCTGCAATGCTGATGTATTTATATACCGTCATTGGTGTACGCGAGCACAGGCATTGCAGTTGCATTAGTCGTAATTTGTAAGAGTCCATAAAAGACCGTGTTATTTATCAAATTCAAATAAAAATATCAAAATGGGAATCGATACAATTCTTCTCACGAAATATTTTCGATAAGCTTGAAGACAGTTCATTTGACACAATCACACGACTGATTTTGAAAAAATTGTGCCGATTTCTATCATGATTGATGACTTTTATTAGCTACCACTCGAACAAATTTTATTATTAAATTGCGATCCAACACAAAACAAAGAAGAAGAAAAAATGAATGATGAAAATGGTAATAGAGTGACCTCACGAAATCACTCTTACATACACATAAAAACTAGCATTGCGAATGCTTGTCTCAACTCCAAATTTAAACAGACAAAAATAATTTAATTAAAAAAAATTAACGTTCAGTTCGAATGTATTACTTGAAAGGCTAATATATATCTTTGATATCCATATACATGTTAATATTATTTAAAAAAAAATTAAAACAAAAAAAAAATACAATGTAATGTAATTGTCTTCAAAATCTTAATAATTATATATGTTTAACGAACGAACGACAAAAAAAAATGTTTCAAAGTGTTTGTTTTCTCATTCAAAATCTGTCTAAAATATCATATACACACCAAAACGTCAACACCAACCATTCGACGAATTTCCGACAAAATGTATCATATGTTCCACCCCAAAACAACGGGTTTTTTATCAAATGCTCCGATAATCATAATAAAAACGAAAAATAATAATTATTTTTCACTTTGGACTATAATGCAGACTTATAAAAAACTAAAACCAAATGACATAAAGAATAAAATCACTCATTTCCAAATCTTATCGATGTGCAACAGACATTTTTCACATTTTGTTAATCTTTTGCAAATTTGAAACGAAGGTCTTGTGTCTTTTCAATAATAAAATAAACATGCAAAAGACTTGAAGCAATGATAAAATTACATTTGGATGAATATGTTTTTTGTAGAAATCACTGTGTCAATCAAAAAATTGAAATTCGGTACAACTGTATTTTAGTTGTTGGCCAAAAAAAAAAAAGAAAGAAAAAAACCCAGCAAATGATTTGATTTGCGTATTTGCGACAAATGTTTTTTTTTTTCTAAATGTTGATGAGAGAGATGATAAAAAGTGCAAGACATACAAAAAAAAAAAGAAATCGTTTTATTGATTTTCGCCGTGATTTTACTCCACATTGATTTTATTATATATGAAATTTGACGAATTTCGAAGCAATTTTTATATACAAACGTAGTAATGGAAAATTATACATATTTTTACTGTAATTCAAAAATGATAAAAAATATTTAAAACATAAAAAATCTTGGATGAAAGAGAATTCATTAAAATGAGAATGAAAAATGATTTTGAGTAAAAATTTAATGGCAAAGAAGAAAAAATCTAAGAAATTAAATTAGAAAAAAAAAACACAAGAAAATAAATACATATGTATCGAGCCAAAACTATTTGCACTATAACTGCATCCTATTAATTTAAAAAAAAATCAATTCAATTTCAATTTCTAATTCGTTTATGTTTTTTCTGTCTTCTTAATTCGATAAGTCTATTCAAATGGAAATGAAACCGATCAATAAGATCAAAAGATATTCTTTAATTTAAACAAATAAAATGAAAATATAATCAAATTGTTTTGTTCATAAAATATAATGGATAAATACACTTTTAACTATTCTAATTTAATTTAAACAAAAATTATCGTAAACAAAATAATAATTCGATCGACAAAACGATAGAAGAAAAAAAAAATTATGCAATCTGAGCTTTATAATTTTATTGCGACAATTATTCTATTATATCCGCAATAAATGCAATAAGAAAAAAAATGCACACACACACATGATTCGTGTAAATGAATTAAATGTCGTAAAGATGCCATCACATTTCAAGCGGGAACTCTCTCAATTGAAAGAACGGAAAGTGTGGTTTTCAACATCAGTAACATCAACAATGATTAATTAAATAAATAAAAAAAATAGAAATAGAGATAGAAAGAAAATCAGTAGCGAGCAAAGGATGTAAAATGGCAAAGAACGAATTATTTTTGTGAGAGAAAGTAAAAGAGATAAACAGAAATAATGAAAAACAAATCGGAATTTACTTTTTTACATAAAATACAATACCTGAAGTGCTCAGCCAACAACAAAAATTTCTACATTAAAACAAATTAATACATTTATAAAGATTGACAGAGACATCAATTGCACCAATAGCAAAGAGAAAGATATAAAAATGAAAAATACAGAAATAGATTTTAGGTGCCAGTTTTACTTCTCTTTGCCGCATCACGAACATACACTGGAGAGTGTCTGTTATCATTTTTATTCTTCGCTTTTGGGGAAGAACTAAAAATTAAAACAAATTGAAATAGTTGCGATTAAAAGAAATGAAAACCAATAAACGAAATTATTTTCTACCTTAATTCTCAATTTTAATTTATGTAATTTTGTTTTCTTCGAAATTCCCTTGGAATAAAACTCAACGCAATCCATTGCCCACACATGCATATATTGCTCTTAGCAAATTAATTATTTTTTATGATTATTACTATTATTATTTTTCGATTTGCACTTAATAAACTCCTCGTACTATGAATAAAATTAAGAATTATTTTTTTTTATTATTATTCTATTGCATACACATCTAGAATAGACATCAACAGAAATGAAGAATTAATAAAACGCAAATTATATATTATTATAAATAAAGATCGCAAAGGACATTCAATACAAAAAATCAACTATGCCCACACACTCACTTACATTACAACCACAACCACAACCACAACCAAACACACACAAACTCAATCGCAATCTAACCAATTGAAAAAATGGGATTAAAAAAAAATAAATCGAAAGTACGTGTAAACACATTTATTTTTTTAAACCGAATCTTTATACACATACTGAATGAACAAAAAAATGGAGAAAAACCAAATTTTTTTATAAAAATATATCTTACAAAATGTGAATAACCAACAACAAATTAAAACGAAAAATGAACAAAAAAAATTTATGTAAAAGAATAAATAAAAAAATACACACAATGTAATGAATGTACGTTTGGAAACCACTATTATGTTCCCAATGAGAATAGTCAGTATTGTTGCTTGTCAATAAGTAAAAACCTGAAAAAAAAAATCGCGAAAAAAATCAATAAAGATAAATCAGAAAAGGAAAATAAGCGGTGACCTTTTATCAAAGTTAATTTCATCTTCACATTAGACGCCGTTGGCAATGGGTGGCTAAATTTAGCCCATTACTCACAATTCGATGAAAGGTAAGCTTTTTTTTAGGTACTATCAATAGATGAAGGTATGTTGAACTCAAATATGGCTTAAAATAAATTTGACACTTTACCTTTCTGTTGTTAACTTTCTGTTGTGGGCATGGCAATCTCCATTTAATGGGATACAATTGACTCAAATGAGGTGAAAAACTGTTCTTTAAATACATTTATCGAGTTTTATTGGAATTTACTTAGAATCTAATGTACAGTTACAAATCTCATAATAGCTAATATTTCGGATATCTCATGCTATTATGGACACGAAAAATGTATCCAAAAAATGCTTCTAAATAGTAGCATTAAGTTTGATCTAATTGCAGTTCATTCACTCAATCTCGCGTCGAAAACTTACAGCTTATACAAAAAAAATGAGAAATTTCTCCGAAAATTAAAAAAAAAGAATAAAATTGAAAATTTTGTGGCCAAAAAATGCGATATTCTCGAGAATTTGTTGAAATGATTCTCTGCTCTAGGTTATTATCTTGTCTCTTTTCACTCTTTAATTATGGCAGAACTAACACATATTTATTTACTTCGATTTTCTTTGTTAACTTATCAGCGCTTTGTCATCATAATCTCTCGCACAAATTAAAACAAATATTAAAAAAACTGAGGTTGAAAACATTATTTACACGAATTGACTTAATTGATTTTTTTTTTCTCAGCTAGTTTTGATACCGACAAAAACTGTTTCCTAAATTTATATCTACTAAAGAGAGTCTAGTGTTTATATTCGTGCAGCGATCGCCTGTGTGATTGCGTATCGACGAATTCATCTTCGTTTTCTTCATCGGCCACATGAATATCTTGACCATCGTCATTATTGATTGATTGCGGTGTTACATATGAAAAAGCCTGCGAAAAACAAAGAACAATTAAAAAAAGTCATTATTTTCAATTGGTAATTGATTGTTTCTTTTTTTTTTGCTTTCCTATTTACTTTTTTTATCTAAAGTGAGATTCTTTTTCTTTTTATTACCTGAGCATGTGCGTGTCCATTTACGACTGAATGACTATGTGTTGAAGAGCGATAAGTTTCGGTGACCGGATCGATAGCCGGCTCATTCCATGTGGTTTTCACTGTTGTTGTTTGTAAACGACCCACTAAACGAGAGAGATAGAGGGAGATAGAGAGAGAGATAGAGAGAGAGAGAAGTACCATAAACAAATCAATTAATTTAAATACAATTACAAATCGACCCACAAAAAATAATATTGCCATTTCAGCAATAAAATAGACACTTACTTCGTGGTTTGAAAGTGAGTCGTGCAAATGAATTAGCTGCTCGTCCGGTTGCTGCGCCAGGTGTTGGTCGAACTAGAAAACGTGGTGATTTAAAGTGGCCGACCACTTCATTGTCATCATCGTTGACAATTTTTTCCGACTCAAAGTACGGATAGGGTTGAGGTGTCACGATATAGACTTTTTCATTGTTCTTATCAGTTGCTGGAGCAAGCAATGATTTCAATCGATTCCATAGCTCATCTGCGCTTGGTAGAACTGTTGTGCGAACCGCATCACTTGCTGGTGTTGTTGAGCATGGTGGCATTGGTGTTGTTACTCTTGGCTGTGGCGTTGTTGATGGCGGTGGATTTGTTGCATAAAATATATGTTGTGATTTCAAGTAATCCAGTCGTTTAAAATCTTCATCTTCAATATCTTCAGCCTGTTGAATGGCTTCTTGTTCATCAGGTGCAATATTATCACCGTTATCTTGTCCATGAATTTCATTTTCATCTTCACTTTCATCGTCCACAATTTCACCTTCACTTTGACTATCATCATCACTTTCTGTGCTATCGCTCACTTCATACAATGTGCTTGGGTACTCGGTCGTTGGTTGCATACTTTCAGTGGTCAATAAATCTTGTAGTGATTGTGTTGTTGTCAAATATTCATATGGAATGAGTTTTGGTTGTGCAAGCAATGAAATCGTACTCGCACGATTCGGTCCACCCATTGAAAATTCTTGTTCCGTCCATCCATCAATGTTCTTTTGCAATTTGGCCAAATCAATGGTTGAAATATTTTTCAAATGTTCACGTTTCAATAGTTCACGAATATTCTTTGCCAAAATCTTTGTTAAATATTGTGAATTTGTTCGTTTCGGATGATGATGCCCTGGTTTGGGCGACGGTGTGGCTGCCGATATTACTTGCGATTCCTCTGAATTATGATCATCATTATGTTGACTATTCGACCAACCGGCCGAACTTTCAAAACTTTGCAGATCTTGATTATTTTTAAATGGACTGGGTCGCGCTTTATTTGTGTATGGAATGATAATTTGAATTTTCTTCGTTTTCTTTCCTTCATTGTCTTGATTTTCAATTGCATTCACATCGTGAGCTTGAGTATGCGATTGGAATGCAGCCGAAGCGGCGGACGGTGTAACTGGTGATGATCGTTGTGGACTGGCCGTTGTTACCACATTCAATGGATTCGAGAATGGATTCGGTGGCAATGGTTTCCATGTGTTTCGCATAAATTTAAATTCGGGCAAAGCATTTGGATCCGGCGTTGTCGATGGACCGATTGAAGTTTTGCGATAATGTTGAATTGGTGTATCTAATAGATCAAGAGGTGTTTCACGATTTGAATTCACTTTGGCCTTTTCCTTGTTCCGTAATTGATTGGCGGCTGAAATCGATAAACTTGGCTCCGTACTGGTGGGCGGATATTGAAAACCTTGTGGTGATGCCGTTGACACATTTAATTCATGTAAAACTTGTAAAATCGGTTGATTTTCCTCAGATATCGCATTGGCACCTTGAGGCGAACGAGTCGATTCACTTGCATCAGCCGCACTATCCGAAATGATTATTGGTTTTTCGATTAGATTTGAATTTTGTTCCAAATTCGAATTATAGCGGAATTTATCGGCTGATGATAATGTTGGCCGTGCTGTAAACGGTTGCGATGCCGAAAATTGACTATATACACTACTCTCTGTTACTTCGGCGGTCAATTTAATCGGTGGTGTTCCGTACGTATTTGTCGGCGGACCATAAGTTACAGGTGGCCCATAAACTGAGGCCGGAGTGCCGTAGCTGTTTGTGGGTTGAACAATTTTCTGCGATTGAGTGACCGGATGATTTTGATTTATGACTTGCAACGATTGAACGCTCGTTGTAGAGAGGCCGGTTGGCGTTACTAATCGACCATTGACGTAAATTCCATTAGCTATTTGCAGATGAGAAGGATGAAAAGAAAAGATAAAATTTGTTTAAAGGGTGAACAGTTTAATTTTGAAAGGGAAAAAAGTCTTAACAAACCTTGAGCATCGTTAATCGTAAATGGTTTTGGTTCATACAATGGTGGAGCTTGTGTGACGCTATAATTGGGCACTGAGCTCGAATAGAAGCTCTGTGGCGTTGTTTGAATTGGCTGTACATTGTTCTGTGCATATTGTAAATATGTTGAGCTCATGGTCGGCGGAGGAGCTCTAAACGGTTGTGCTGTACTTGGAAGCGGCAATGAATTTATCGTATTTATTGAATTGATTTGATTTGGTGTGGCAACTTGTGAAGGATGCCTAAGTGGTCGTTGTCTCGGCGGCAAATATGTGTGTGCATTGAGAAATTTCTCCGGTGTTGGTCTTGCGATTGGTTGAATGTTTGCATAGCCCGGCACACTTTGCAAGAAATTTGGATTTTTAGCTTGAAGTCTTGCACGCAATAAATTCAATTCGTTTGCATCTGGGAAAATCGGTAACCATGGAATTTTATTGCATGGAAATGAGTCACTTGGTTGCGGTTGTTGTTGTTGTTGCTGTTGCCGTTGACTAAACGGATATCCATTAAACGAATAAACGGCAGTCGGTGAAGCGGCCGACGATACCAGATCATTCAGAGAGCCGGGCTTCTGTTGAAATTTTACCGGGTTTGGATAGGTATAACCAGTTGGTTGTGGTTTTGGTGGTTCTTGAAGTTTAACTGGAGGTTGACTGTAAGTATATCCGGTTGATGATGGTTGTTGCAATTTCACCGGTGGTGGAATGTATGTATAACCAATATTTTGCTGTGGTGTCGGTTGTTGTTGTAATTTCACCGGCGGTCGCGGAGGATCGTACGTATATCCTGATTCTGGTTGTAATTCTAGTTTATGCGGAGGTGGCTCATAGGTATATCCTTGCTGTGATTGTGGTTGCAATTTTCCGGCTGGTTCGTATCGAAACCCATTCGTTAGAATAATCTTGCTGGGATCATCGTATGTGTAGACGGGTGATTGTGAAAATTTTTGTGGTGACGGTGAAAATGGTTTGGCCGGATTTTCATAAACGTATCCGTTTTGCTTTTGTTGTTGTGTTTTTTGGGTTTGTATTTTGGCATTTTGTTTCTTATTTGTCGATTGTGATTGTGGATCACCATTGAAACCAAACCACGTAATGACTCGTTGAAATAATGATTTTGACGGTTGTCCATCGCCTTGATATCGAACAACAATTGATTCTTGATCTTCCGGTGGTGGTACTAGATCTTCAGCGGGTACATCTGGAATTTCATTTGTTTTAAATACATCGGCACTAGCATGCAATGCAAATAACAACAGTAGAATGGTGTTTTTCCGTATCTGAAATAGAAGGAAAAAAAAACAAAAAATAAAATATGGAAACGTGTCCAATTATCGGTATGTTTTCTTTGCTTTGTGCGTGTCTCAATCTGTCTCTCGAATGGAGAAAACTAAATAAAGACACAAAAATAGATTAAATCTAGCTCTGTAAGTGTCTTTAGAGGTAATTATATGATTTGAAATCAGTTTTATCTCTTTATCATTTTGCTACATTTCGATCGTTCTATAAAATAGTTTCTATGATTGTTTGTGCCAAGAAAAACGCAAACACCATTCCAAAATATAGACTTTCTTTTATCTGAACGAATAGAAAAAGAGAGAGAGAGAGATAGAAAAAACTCGACATTCTTGTGCTTAAAAGCAGTAGCGCGGATGTTTGTCAATTGAAATAAGATGTAATGAACATTTGAAATGTTGTCAATCGTTGTTGAATATTGCATTGATCACTCTCATTTTCTCCCACTTTGCTTCGCCTTACTTTGAAAAGCTGTGCCTAAGAAAACCACGTCCGATTTTCAACCTTGATTCTTGTGTGTGTGTGTGCACTTCACACAAAGTATTGCGAGAAAAAAAAGTAAAAATAAAAAACCAGAAAAGCACGTCATCGCGTGCACATTGAAAGAAAACCCGTTTGAATTTTCGCCTGGCGCAAGCAATTTTCATCATTCGACGTCGTCATCTACTGCTGACTCTTTATGCATCGATTTAAATTTGTACATATCAGACGGATTGTCGACGTGAATCATTATTAGAATCGGATATAATATGCTGGTTGAAGCAACAATTGAATTTCAAAACATAAACATTGCGTGTGTGCGCGTGCGCACATATCAACATGAAACATAGAAGATTATTTATTATGAGAATAAAACAGAGTAAGTGTGTATCGTTGTTCAGGTTTTCATCGAAAACACGACACACCGATGTGAACTTGATGTGAAAGAAAAAACAGCAAGAATATGCATGGAATCTTAGGATTTTTTTTCTTCGCTTTATTATTATTAATTTCAATTATGAACTAAACAATAAATAAATTTATAATTTAAAAAGAAGTGAAACATACACGAAAAAAAAAACGAAACCGAGACGGAAACATCGTTTTTCACATCTTCAATGTAGGAGACTAGGTCGATATATAATGCTGACTGCATTGCTTTTGCAGACTCGAAACACATTGTCTAAATGGTTCGGTTCATAATTGCATTTCCACGTAAATTTTTCCAGATTTTTTTATTCTTTTTTTTCGCTTTACTTTCCATATGAAACAATAATTTTTGTGAAATCAGTTTCACCGCGCGCTCTGCGTGTCGAATTTTTATCGATTGATGATGGAAAAACATATGAAAAGCAACGGCAATTCTTTCTTTTTCTTTTCTTTTTCTCCTCTGTATTTTGATGACTCCAGCAACACATCAATTGCGCACACAATCTCTTTCTCCCTATCAAACGCATCATTCTTTTTCTTTACCAAACACCGACACTATTATGCGTTTTTCATTTTAAAATGTTGCTCTTAATTTTCAAGCAGATGGTGCCAAAAAAACGATCTTTTTCGGAATAACGAATAAAAAGTGAAAATGGTAACATCATGATTCATTACATTCAATAATCAAATATTTTTCTTGCCTAAGGGAAAAGATCTTTTTTCTTCGTGGCGATCGAGTCGAGTGTGTCGGTTATTAAAATGGCAATGTTTGATTTTGTTTTGTTCACAAGTGTGAGAGAGCAACGTAAATAGAGATAATAATCGCTTGAGATTGAAGCGTCAATGAAATTTGAATTTAAATGGCCAGCAATCATCTCACAATTTCCGTGTATAATTGCCTATCCAATTTTTTGTTATTGGAGTATATGTTACACTTTTGGTAATGTTTTAGGTGCGAAAATGTACGTGTGAGAATTTGTAAAATGACGACGATGAAAGGCAACGAAATATTGTCAGTGCGATCAAAAGCGACAAGTTAATCAAATTGAGCAAGCTTATCGAGCATATTTCTACTGTTTGAATAGACGTTTTTATTTCGTTTGTTGCGCTTTTTTCGTTTTCGCTGCCAAAGAAATGGAAAATAGTGTGACTTTTTTTCTTTCTTCGTTGATGATGACGATGATGATTTTCAATCTCGTTGGTGCGAAATGTGTGAATAAATGTGTGTGTTTCTTTCTCCGTCTTTTTTATGAAACACACACATTGAAAAACAAGCACAGAAAAAAAATTGCAAGAAAAAAAAACAAACAGAAGTTTCACTGATCCAGTTACATTTTTAATTAAATTAGACGGGAATTTTTGTGTTTGCTTCCTCAACGACGTTCATTGAAGTACGGCATTACAATTTTATGGCGACAATCTGTAGATAACGACATTTTATGAGTAAATACTCATTTATTCTGATAAGATCGACGTAATTTCATTGAGAATATAAATTTTATTCCGGTAAATAAAAGTGTGTCGATCTTAGATTGGTGACAGTAACGATGAAATAAACATAAAGAGAAAAAAAAAAACATGAGCTACAATCCCGAATTTAAATTCAATGTCAAAAATTCTATGCTCCCGACATTGCACGCAAGTGCGCCTTAATTTATCATAGTGAGAGTAGTTGAAGTCGACAAATACCAAAGAGCAAAAAGAAAAAAAACTAAAACTTCACTCTTGAAATAGCGACACAATAGATCACAAGCGCAATAGCAATTCGATATGTTTGCCTACATGTTGGCATGCTCAAATATAACTCACAGAGACTCGACCGAAGCTAAATTGCAAAAAGAATATGAAATGGCATGGATGATGATGATGATGACGATGAGACGATGCTGTTGAACAAGAAGAAGTTTCTTTTTCAATTGAAACGAAAGATGTACAAGCGCACGATGGGAACAAAAATTCTCACGCCATAGTATAATAATAGCATTAGGAGTGTTATATGGAATCAAATATTATACTCATTTACGGGCACTAATAATAATGAGATGATCGTTTTGATCTGTTCGCTTCACACTGCTCGCGCGCGCTCACACACACACATACACAAATCAAGAACCATGGCAAAATGTAAACGAAACTATCGTTGTCGCATTGCTGCTTCTGTTCATGTTGCATACACACACCGTATCCACCTGTCCAATTACCATTGTATATATTGTAAACTACATTTAAGTAAGTGTTATTTTCTCCTTTGATTCGCACTTTTTTTCCCGACTATTTCACTCTTTTTCATGCATTTACGCGGATTTCTTTTTCGCATTTTTTTCTCATTCTCTCTTCGCTCTTGTCGTCGTCATCGTCGTCTTTCTTTTCACGAAATTCGATGCGACTACGCGTTTAGCTTTTATCGTTTGGGAGTAAATGTGCAAATTGAGTACAATATAAATTCGATTACAATACAATTCAAGAGGGAAACAAAAACTCTCGCACGAAATAAGATTCTCTTTCATTCAAAGAGTGTCGTGGTCATGGTCATTCACCGTTCATACATGTAATAAATTAGCATTTCATTCAGCCGTCACAAATTTGGATAGTCTTCTGTGTTTTGTTTCATTTCTTTTTCGATGTTGTGTGATCGGCCATTGTGTGCGCATCTTCATGATTGGATCGATTGAGAGCTATTATTCATCATCTTTGTAATAGAAAAAAATTAGTCAAAATGTTTTGATTTGTTTTGATGTAAATTTCTTTTTTTTTTCGCATAGAAGTTCAAGTGTCGGATAGATTGCTGCTTAATTCAAAACAAAATGATTGATTTTGAATTAAAAAAAAAAAAAAAATAAATAAAAAGAAATCTTTGGTACATACGAGAAAGAGTATGTTTTACAAACGCTTGAAGTATGTTATTTTTAATATGTTTGATCGTGGCGGAAATGCTATTACACAAGTCAAGAGTGCTTGTTGTTTCGATGCTTTTCAAAAACTCTTTCAAAACAAACGTATCTATATATCTATATCTCGAAAATGTTGCATGCATGTTATTGCATTTTTGAACTTTTTTTCCTTTTTCTTCATTTTATCGGTGTAGAGAAAGAAATCATCTTGAAAATTGGCCGAATAAAATCTCTTTCTCTCTCACACACACACTCACTGACACATTTATCTCAAAATGAAACTATTAACCAAGTAACCGCGAATTGTGTATGACTCAAAATTTGTTATCAAAAAACTTGAAATCAAGTACGTGATGATGCTTGTTCCTCTTTCGTTTCTTGTTTTAGAGAATATTTCGACAAATGTATGATGAAAGTAGCAAGAATGGGGTATTTAATTCTTCTTATATTTCTCATTTAATAAACCACCGAATTACGAAATTCATTCAACTGACGCTCATAAACATGTCACATAAATAATTACGTCAATTCTATGTGTGTTACTCATAACGCAGCTTTTGTTCTATTTACATAACAACGACCAATGACATGATTTATATGATCAATTTAAACTCGAATCATAAAAAATAACGAACGACCGCATTATTTTGACTAAATTATGCAGCAACTGAAAAAGAAAAGTATATAAAATAATTTTAGGATGAATTGTACGTTTTGAATTTATTTGTGTCATCCTCGTTCGAACCCAATGACTTGATGCTCGACGAAAAAAAAAAAACGTTTATCACACATTTTTTTTCTGGGCTATGTAATGTAACAACATTCCATTGTGTGTGGAGTGTCTAGATATATGTTATAGATAAATTTCAATTTCCAAACAATGAAAAGAAAGAAAATCATAATAATTCAAGCAGAAAACGAGTGATGACATTTGAAGACGTGTTTGAGCTCGTATCTTTGCCTAGTTTTGACATTCGTCGATTTCTCAGTGGATTCGAAGAAAGAATATGTTTTCTTTCTCTGTGATGACAATCAAATCGTAAAAGATGCTGTGGGATTTTGGACGCACGCATCTTATATTTGATGACATGACAAAATGACAAGAATGAATTTGTCGTGTTGCACATAAATTTAATGGCAATTCTTTCTCTCACACTTACTTTAACTCGTAAGTTTTGTTTTTG